TATTGTTGTGGGTGTATTATTGACATGTCAAAGTCTAGACCCTGAATATAAGATGACCGCGTTTTTTCAGATGTATTTCCAAGAAAAAAACATCGTCTTATATTCGGGTCAATACGGCATTTCTAATTTGTTAAAAAAAAAATATATATATATATATATATATATATATTATTTTTTTTATTATTTTTTTTTATCAAGATGTAAAGCCATTGCTGCATAAATAAGTCTAGAAATACTCTCTACCTTTGTAATTAAAACTCTATCCCTTAAAGAGAGGTCTCTTATTAGCTAATGATTTAACTTCTTTTTAGTTTTTTTTTACAATAATAGGACTAAATTTTACTGTAGCAAGCACCTTCTTTTCTGGTCTATGGTTATCAATATTCCAAGATATTGAACCTCATTCTTTAAGGGAATACCATTATAGCTAGTTTCGAGACATTCCTATATGGCCATAAGCTCACATTTAGCCAAATTAAAGTATACCCCAGATATTCATGAAAATTTGCAAAGTAAATCAATTGCCACAGATATCTAATTCTCATTTTGAATAAAGAGAGTAGTGTCATCGGCTAATTGTGTAATTTTTCTCTCTCTATCAACAATAGTGATACCTCTCAGTGGGCTTCCAAAATGGCGTCTGTGTATCGATAACACAGAGAAAGATTACGTCATTATATAAGACCCTTACGAAAATTAACCATGGTTTTACTACAAATAAAAACAAAAACATGATTACTATAGTTAACCCATAATAACCACTAATTAGCCATGGTTTTGCTACACTAACCATAGTTGGACCATGGTATTTGTAGTAAAACTGGTTATACAAATAGTAGTCAATATGACAAAAAACATGATCACTACAATTTTACTGTAAAAAAAACATGGTTTTCGTGAGAGGAGGGCATTAGATAGACTACATATTACGCATTGTATTTTGTTGGATATTTTAATCAATAATGGTACGTTAAATACCATTTTTTAGATTCGTCATTGTGTGCTTAGAAAGTGGGGGTGCAGTTTGTGACGCAGTTTTTAAACAGAGTGATAGGTGTTAATTGTTATTATTCTGTTTTGTAGGAAATATGTAAATATGTATTATGAACTATTTACATCAGTGATCCTGTTTAAAGTCCTGTAGTCGTCCTCAGTGTGAAAATCTCAAAATCACTGGAAAACCAAAGAATGTGTGAGGATTTTTCTGCTCAGGATAGACAGCTTGCGAATTCAGTTATGTTGTCTTAAGGAATATATGTGTAATGTGAAATAAATTAATCCAAGCAGTAGCTACTACTGTCACAAATCCGGTCCATGAACTTCCATCTGCTAGCCATCAGAGGTCACCCTTTCCAATTTCATTGACTCTCGGATTTCTCCCTTAGTCTTGCCCCTTCTGACTCTGTCTGCCAATCGTCGACCCACGCTAGCCCTAAGACTATTCTTGTGTCTTGCCCGCCATATACCTGTCTGCCTCTGTTTGACCCTGCCTGCTTTATGACCACGTCTCTGTCTTCTCCACAATAAAGCTTTGCGAATGGATCTGCACGTCTCACGTCTTGTCAGCTCCGTAACAACTACAGCTTGCAGATTGTTATTTGCATTTATAATATATATTGTGTTATATGCTATGTTATGTTTTGTGTCATGCAATTTTGTCCCAGTATTTCAGAAGTGTAGAAGTCATATGGCAAATTTTTTAATCAAGTAAATTTGTTTTCTTCTTCAGGTGCTTCTGGTGTTGATACTGACAGTGTGGCAGTGTTTGTGATGGAGGGAGATGCAGTCACTCTATACACTGATGTTAAAGCAAACCAACAAGACAGACTTAAATGGTATTTTAATGACACGCGTATCGCTCAAATCAATGGTGACCAGAGGAAGATCTGTACAGATGTTCAGTGTGAAAAGAGATTCAGAGACAGACTGAAGCTGGATCATCAGACTGGATCTCTGACCATCATCAACATCAAAACCACAGACTCGGAACTTTATGAGCTACAGTTTAACAATGGCATTATTGAGAAGATCTACTACGTTTCTGTCCATGGTGAGTCATTTAATGAGTTAAAATGTGTAATGTACACCTAGCTATGGATGATCCCACAGCAGACCCCGGTGCCCCTTTGGGGGTGTAATTTTTTTTAAAACAGAGCTCAAAACTAAGAGCTAAAACACTTTATTCTCTCATAACTCACAGTAAATGTGATGTGATCTAGGAAAACCCACCACATGGTGAAATTTTACCTTTTATAGGTTTTGATACAAAGCTGGGTTCAAGCCATTTCCAAAACTGTTTTTATTTAGTTCATAGCTTGACCGGAACAAAAGTTATGGCTATCTGAATTTGGCTGATCACTATGATTTTCAGGAACAAAAGAAGACAGTAAATTAGTAAGTTTTCAAGTTTTAGTTGTTCATCATTATATATATATATATATATACAAACCCAATTCCAAAAAAGTTGGGACACTGTACAAATTGTGAGTAAAAAAGGAATGGAATAATTTACAAATCTCATAAACTTATATTTTATTCACAATAGAATATAGATAACACATCAAATGTTGAAAGTGAGACATTTTGAAATGTCATGCCAAATATTGGCTCATTTTGGATTTCATGAGAGCTACACATTCCAAAAAAGTTGGGACGGGTAGCAATAAGAGGCCGGAAAAGTTAAATGTACATATAAGGAACAGCTGGAGGACCAATTTGCAACTTTTATTATTATCATTATTATAATTACTATTTACTCTTACAGTTACGTGATGCGTTTCTGGTCTCAAATTGTAGCTTTTTACTTCTTACATTTTATAAATGTGTGTCTGTCATGATGGTTATTTTCCATAACACTGAATGTTGTAACAAAGGTAATAAAGAGTTGGTTATTATTATTAAGTCTCTTTCCGGCTCAGACTGCATAGGGTAAGCTTATGGGGCTGTCACGTGATGAACGAACGACTCGAAACAGGTGAACTACTTGACTAATTCCAGTACAGAACCTTTAGGAGGTTGCGCATGCGCGACTGAACGAATCATTCCCCGAGACGACTCGTTCTTCCCGAGTCACAATAAAGATTCGTTCAAAATGAACGAATCGTTCAAGAACGACCCAACACTAAAATACGATCTGAGAAGAGGAAGATGCGACAAAGAAGACCTAAGACAGTTGAGCAACTAGAAGCCTGTATTAGACAAGAATGGGACAACATTCCTATTCCTAAACTTGAGCAACTTGTCTCCTCAGTCCCCAGACGTTTGCAGACTGTTATAAAAAGAAGAGGGGATGCCACACAGTGGTAAACAAGGCCTTGTCCCAACTTTTTTAGATGTGTTGATGCCATGAAATTTTAAATCATCTTATTTTTCCCTTTAAATTATAAATTTTCTCAGTTTAAACATTTGATATGTCATCTATGTTGTATTCTGAATAAAATATTGAAATTTGAAACTTCCACATCATTGCATTCTGTTTTTATTCACAATTTGTACAGTGTCCCAACTTTTTTGGAATCGGGTTTGTAGATAAATGTTGTTCATATTTATATATAAATTAAGAATTGTGTTGTTAAATGCATTTGCAGTGTATCATTATATTCAAATTGATGATTATTTGTTTCTGTCCTTTATTTCTTTATTTATTTAAATTAAAATGTCCCAGTAAAACATTAATTGGGAAACATGGGCTGGATAGTCTGAATTTTAGCCCCAGTTCAGCCCTGATGATTTTCTTCTTCTAGGGACAGAAAGAAGACCTTCTAGTCTCTCCTCTCCTCTTTAAGGCAGTTGTGTGCACAAAAGTTGTTTCTGAAAACCTGTTTGCATTGACCTCATATCTGGTGTTAATGCATTTATGCTTGTAATGCTATAGCCCCAGGGCCCTTTGTGTTCTTTTTCTGGGCCTGATCCCACATATACCTTAATCATTAACTAACACTGACAAAAAAAAAAAGGTCCTCCAGCAGCTGTTGGTTTGTGTTTCAGGTGTTTCTTCTGCTGAACGAGATGGAATGAAGACAAAGTCTGTGAAGGAGGGAGAATCTGTCACTTTACATCCTGGTGTAATGAAAACCCCAAATGATGTGATGACATGGTATTTTTATTCAACTTCACAAGGCTAAAAGTGCCCCTAGTTTAAGAAACGCCCCTCTACATGTAGGCTCTCAAATGTTTCCTATCATTTCAAGTTGTAGCTTAGTTTATGTATAGCCAGATAAATGATTATAACACATTAATGTTAACAATTATATTTTATTTTAACGATTAAAAAAGTTAATGGAACATCGAAGCCTCTGTTTTAAGTCCTTCCCCAACAGCAAGCGGTTAATTTCTGCAATCGCTACCGGCGAGTCTGTTTTTTTTTTTTTTTTCCAAATTCTCGTCTTCGCCATTTTTGTAGGAAAGGGCGTCGGCTCAGGAAAAGAACATTTTTGAAAGAACAATGAATTCCACAGAATATTCATTAATTTTCAGAGGACTGAAGTTCTATGTTTTGCACATGGCTAGTGTTTTACTTCTGCGTGGTAAGACTGTTATCTCTCTTCCGATCAGTAATCCCTGGCAATAATTATTATTTCATGATTATTACGGTGGCTGTATTTTTGTAGTTTTGTACATGTTTGTGACTACAGAAACTAAAGCATTAATGGCGTCGTTTTAAACAGATAAATCTCCTGTTAAAATGGCTAGCTCTTTTCGGTGCTGTATTCTCAGTCCCTGTAACGTTACCATTCAGGAATGCATGGACCCATGCAGTCTCTGTCCACAAACTTCTTCCAAGTTTGTTACATCAGTAGATTATATAGATATATTGTGAGGGTTGGTGTAGTGGTTTATCCAGTAGGATGTGCATTGCAAATCTGCATTAAATATATAGACAGGAATATGGTCAGGAAGTTCTGGACATATTATGAGTGTTTCTGGCATAAAGATAACCTCTTCCCAGATTATGTAGGTACAGCACTCTGTACATCAGGCAGACCAAACTCAATAACCCTGAGCACAAAGACCCCCACCACCATTCCACCATTTGAACTCCTGAGAAGATATCCTATATGTGCATGTATATGTAACAGACAGAGAGAGAAAAGACAAAAGAGAGAAGAGAGAACACAGAAGGGAGGAGGAAAGAGAAAGGGAGACAAAAGGGAGGAGGGAGCGAGAGCACAGACAGGCAAACTCACAGTAATATCAGGCAGAGAGCGTGATAATCGAACATCTTCATTAATATTTAAGAGGAACATTAGAGATATATAGCGGATCATATTTGATTGCGGTTTACAAAATTAATAGTAAATGTCATTTATTGTTTAGCTTCAGTTGTTATTGTTTTTAATTAATAGAACTGCATGACACAGTTGGATTTTTTAACTTTTGCACTGGATGATCAGTGTAAATTATTCTGCCCTTTGATTTATAATTCAGCCTAAATATGTATTTTTGCTCCAGGTGCATCAGGTGTTGATACAGATGGAGTGTCACTGTTTGTGATGGAGGGAGATTCTGTCACTCTGCACACTGATATTTCAAAAACCCAACAAGAGAGAATTAAATGGTATTTTAATGACGCGTGTGTGGCTGAAATGAATGGTGATTTCAGTCAAATCTGTGCAAATGATAAATGTCATAATGATGAAGAGAGATTCAGAGATGGAATGAAGCTGGATCATCAGACTGGCTCTCTGACCATCACAAATATCAGAACCACAGACTCTGGACTCTATAAGCTACAGATCATAAACAACAGCAGCAGCATTAGTGAAAAGATATTCAGTGTTACTGTCCGTGGTGAGTCATTTTATGAATTTTTTTAATCAGGTTGTTATGTTTTAATCCCATCATTAATATGTTTATTATATCTGTGACAGTCACTGCTATTTATTCCCAGTAAATAGGCCATGTCCTTAAAACCACATTTGCTGTGAAAGTGGAATTTGTAGAAATATCACACATTGCTTCATTACACAGAAACGCTTTCCATTATTGAGCTGTTAGTTTGAACAGTTTTGGTTCATAAACCAGCAGTGGTGTTCTGGAGATAAACAGTTTCTCATGATAGTTCTGTTTAAATGCGCACACACACACACACACACACACACACACACACACACACATATAGAGAGAGGATTTGATAGAAGTATGATAAGTATGTACTGTAAAATGTGTTTAATAGCATCAAATGTGGACAAATGCTTTTGACTTGATCTCTTATATGATCACAAAATTGTATGTTTTCATATCCACAGTTTCTTGTAAAGGTTTTCCCCAAAAAGATTCAGCAGCTGTTGGTTTGTGTTTCAGATGTTCCTGCTGCAGAAATAGATGAAGTAAAAACAAAATCAGTGATGGAGGGAGAATCTGTTACTTTAGACACTCATGTACTAAAACAATCAAATGATTTTATAGCATGGTATTTTAATGACATTCTCATCACTGAAATCAATGGACATCTCAGATATGTCTGTACAGAAGAACAGTGTAATAAAGGTACTGAGAGATTCAGACACAGACTAAGGCTGGATCATCAGACTGGATCTCTGACCATCATGAACACCAGAATCACAGACTCTGGAGATTATCATCTAGAGATCTTCAGCAGCAACTTCAGCATTAGCAACATTAGGAGCTTCAGTGTTACTGTCACTGGTGAGTATCATTTAATTTAACCACACCTAAACCTTGAACCAAAGCACTTACTAAAAAGGTCTTATTCTGCATTTCACCTCTGCTCTGATTGTTTCCTAATCCACCCTGTTTCCTAATCTAATCTGTTCAAGTTTATTTTCTTCTTCTTCTTGAGACTAACATTTCTAAAATGAATTTAGCCCAAACTATTCTAGCCATGACCTCCAAGCCCAGTCAGATCTATATAATCTGAATGCTATATTACGATTTTTGTAAACCACATAATCAAACAAATGTTCAAATGAACCAAGACTCTTCAAATTTCAACTGTTAAAAAAATCAAACCTATACATGACTAGACAGGCCATGCTATCAGCCTGTTAGTAATGTCAAAACATGCTAGCAACATATTAGCAATGTGCTAAAATCTGTTAACAGTGTGTTGAATAATGCTTAAAACTTTAGCTGCTTTACAGTAGAATTGTTTTTTTTTTTTATTCATTGAATCACTGCTTTATCATCACTGTAAAAGCTGCTTTAAAACTATGTTATATAAATCAATATATAAATAAAGGTGATTTGACTTGATGCTTCATTTCTTCTTTAGGTGTTTTCGGTGTTTTGACCGATGGAGGGTCAGTGTTTGTGATGGAGGGAGATTCAGTCACTCTACACACTGGTGTTAAAAAAAGCCAACACGACAGAATTGTGTGGTATTTTAATGACACTTTCATCGCTCAAATCAATGGAAATCTAAATAGGATGTTTAGAGTTACAGACAGACTGGTGCTGGACAATCAGACTGGATCTCTGACCATCATGAACATCACAAGCACAGACTCTGGACTTTATAATCTACAGGTCATCAGCAGCAGCATCAGTCAAAAGATCTTCAGTGTTTCTGTCCATGGTGAGTCATTTAATAAATACATGTTTAACGTCAGGTTATGCACATTTGCTATAAAAACAAAGCACAACACTATTGTTTTACGTGATTTTTTTTGCTCACTGGAGATGCAAATTGCAAGATGATTTGATGTGAAATAAAAAAAAGAGCATGTGTAATCACTTTCATATCTACAGTTCAGGAAAATATATCCTACAGCAGCTGTTGATTTGCGTTTCAGATGTTCCTGGTGCAGAGACACATAAAATGAAGACAATGCCAGTGGTGGAGGGAGAATCTGTCACTTTAGATCCTGGTGTAATAAAAAAAACAAATGACTTGATGACATGGTATTTTAATGACATTTGCATTGCTGAAGTCAGTGGAGATTTCAGTAAGATCTGTACAGATGTTCAGTGTAATGAAGGGACTGAGAGATTCAGAGACAGACTGAAGCTGGATCATCAGACTGGATCTCTGACCATCATGAACATCAGAAACACAGACACTGGACTTTATAAACTGGAGATAAACAGCACCAATAGCAGCATTCGTCGTCGCCGCAGCAACAGTATCAGCATCAGCAGCTTTAAGAGCTTCAGTGTTGCTGTCATTGGTGAGTAGCATTTAATTGATTTATTTGAGGAATTTTAAAATGTCTTTGTTTGACTTTATAACATTTTGACTAATTCCGACAATGTTCGGTTTGCTGGTTAATAGTACTGTGAAACTTTTTTTTTTTTAATTGCTGATCTTCAAAAAAACATTTATCAGTAAATTCAAGTATCATACAGCAGACTATCCAAGTATAAATATAATTTTGAAATATCATTAGAGTTGTCTTATCAGTCAGTCTCTAAGGAACATATGTCTGCTTTTATCGTTACAGAATCAGGTCAGTCTGTGGCAGGAATATGTGCTTGTGTTGGCATTTTTCTGCTGGTTTCTGTAGCTGTATCCGCTGGTGTGATTCACTGTCGCTGCAATAACTCTACACAACCAGAACAGAATGTAAGTATTACACTCATACAGCTGATTTATATAGAAATACGAGGTTGTAAATCAGTTTACATGCACAAAAACAGTACTAACAATATGAGCCGGATATACTGACAGCTGCCAACGCAAATTTCTTTTGGTGTTAAAAAATACTGTCAGGATGTAAAGACGGTGAAAAATGATAAATGAAAAGGCGTGGACACAGTTATTTGTGTGCCTGACTTTCCATTTCAGACACAAATTTTATGGGAGAATATTTAAATTAATCATGCAAGGTGATTTTCTAAGGTTTGCGGTAGTTAGTTTACTGGTATTTGTGCCATTATACAACGCCCCGAAAAGCATGTTTGAACTTGACATGCTGTGATAGTTTAAAAAAAAAAACAGAAGAGCCAGAGAACACCTATTGCAAGTAACTTCTGCACCCGGAAATAGTTTGACATTTTTAAAATGCATTCTATGACTGGATCAGACTTAGGGTCAGGTTAGTGTTAAATTAATCATGCAAGGTGAAGAACCTACACTAATCTATAATAAACTGCTGCACAACCAGAAAAGCATGTAGTGAAATCGTTTGATAATGAATAATAGTAATATTAGTGATGACAATAATAATAAAAAACCCAAACAAACAGCCAACCAACTCCAGCTGTGTAATCCTACCACTGTGGTCAGTGAGAGCCATCTCCATCTCTGAGATAGTGGCAGTGTGAGAGGCCAAAGTGCTGAGAATGCCCTCCAAAGATGTTTGCAAGAAGAGCTGTAAATACCTCTGACAAACTTCACCTCAGTATATCTGGCCCAATCTTTACAAAATGTGTTTCACAAATGCAAAACAGTATATTTAATATAAGTGTGCACACAACGTTTAGAATGATTTACATTTTTAAATAGATTGTTGAATCTACATGTCATCACATGCATGGGTTCGACTTTATACCCACGTAACATCTGACTTTAATAAGCAGTGTATTTCAGTGCAGTGACAATGCAATACAAATATTTTTTTTAAGACGGAATATACATTTAAAGAAACATCCAATATTTAAGATACAGTGTTTGGGAAAGGAAACGACCAGTATTGTTCATTTCACTCACCTTCTGTGAATCTGTTTTCAGGAGCATCATGTTGAACACTCGTCCCCTAATATGGCTGAGATGCCATTGATGACTGTTGCCAATGAATCGTCACCTAATCAGACTGAGGCTGCCAGTGTGACATCAACGTAACATTAATTATTACTTTGATAATTTCATTGATGGGTGATCTGATCATTTTATACCATGATATTTTATGTCCTCGTAACAATGTTAAAACTACTGCATGACTGCCTACTAGATGGCTGCGCTGACTGGTCAAATTGTATCACGTGCCTCTATCATGTGTCCTTCATGTGTGTTGACCTTTTTGAAAAACAATCCAATGTGAGCTAGCAGAAGGGCTGTGCAATGAATTAAATTTTAGTTTCACTTTCAGAATTTTGGGTTCCAGCGGTTAGGAAAACGTGATAATTAAGATAAAACGATCATTGTGTCGCATGCCGTTGCTTTACTTTAAAACAGCGTGGTTTCGCCCCTGAAAGGGTGCTTTGATCTCCTTGTGAAACCAAAACTCAGGAACTCTCGCTACACATATGCCATGCAACAAAACAATAAACTTTCTAATCTGACAGGAAGATCTGGGAGAAAGACCATTTGCTCATCTGTCCCTTCACCCATTCTTAGGCCCCCTCCTTCCCCCCTGGGCATATGGTCCAGGTCATTGAAAGTTGACATAGAAGTGTCAAGAACTCAAGTTGCCAGACTTACATACTGCCGTTATTATGTCTTAAGAATTCATGATCATAACCCTTTCATGTTTGGTATCAATTTTATGGTCTCAATGTGATTGGAAATATGATCTCAGTCCCATCTCAGTAGAACAGATCAAAAATAAGGATCTAGAATCTGAGGAAATTATGTTCTACTGGTGTGGGGTGTGCCCCTGATAAGGTCTTTGCCAGATGTTGTTTCTATCCCAGGTTAGATATGGCTTTCAGGTCACCTCAGGTCCCAGCAAAAGTCCTGTGAAGCTTTTATTATGCTAAATGTATTATTGTATTGTTCTGATTTGGGGATTTAAAGAGGATTGGCAAAACATTCAAGGAAGCATCTGTAAACAGAACTTCCTGCACGATTGCCGTGTGTCTCTCTATTTGCCAAGGATGCTGACTGTTTGAAATTATTTTAGTATTAATTTTTATTCTATGTTTTGTGTTTCATGCTAATCAGTTGTGTAACCAAATTGTTATGCATTTTCTCTGATTGATGTATTCTCATTATTGATTGATTGAATTTATTATTTTTGATTATTATTTGATTATGCCTAGCAAAATAAATGTAATTTTTTTTTATTTATTATGGATTTTCTTGTAATCATTATTTCTAGTGAATTAAAATTGCAGTCTGGTGTTTCCACAAATCTGTGTCCAAGACGGATCATACCGAAGTACCAATGAATATAGCGAGGCTCATCATTTGGGACCTTCTGATTTCTGACTTTCACTGACTTGACAAGTTGTAGTTTTCGTGATTATAAAAAGCATATACTTTTTGTGATGTGCGAGCAGGGTGCAGCCTACTTAAAGATACTGTAAGCACCCTGCATCATCTGAGTAAAATCAGAACTGGCAAACTTGTGTCCGTGAATTCACTAAACGGCCGAGTGAATTTCTAAGCGATGCCAGGTCATTAATGAACGAATAATTGAAAGTATGAGATTTCCAGAATAATCAAATATCTAAATTGATACACGATCGATATTTGTAATTAGTTTTTAATTAGAAACACAAACTAAAATTAAAGAATCACCTAAAATTGGGAGTCAGATTAAATTGTTCATGGGGTCAGAATTTTGATTGGAAACCAAATTTTAATGATTCAAGATCATTTTTTACAGAAGCACCATATAAGACATACACGCAGAATACCTTCAATCAGGCCGCTATACTCCGCTTTTTGGGCCAGCGGGTGGATTCTTACACCCCTCCTTAGAAGCCTAAATTTAAAACCCAAATCGGACAAATTATGTTATATGACTGTCGTAAAATGCAGTGTGGGACATGTTTTATTTTAAAAAGAGTTATTAAAAGCCCATTAACTGCAAAAGAGACAATCATATGAGCAAAGTATACTTGGGGTTTCAGGTGCACCTAAACGGTCAAAGATACACCAAAATATTGAAAAATGTCCATCTTGGCAATTTTAAATTAACTGAAAAATTAGTGTTTACTATTGTCATTTTGCATTATTGACACACTATTGTCTTAATTAATGCTGTTCAGTTTCTTTGACACAATCTGTACTGTTAAAAGCGCTTTATAAGTAAAGGTGACTTGACTTATTTACATAAAGACAGTCAGTTATGTCTTAAGTGAACATAAACAGTTGGGAATGGATTAGGATATGTGTCAGTATATTAGATATGTGCATTCGGTCTTAAAGTTTAATGCAGATACCTGCTGCTGTCTGTGTCATCAATGTTAATCAAACAACAAAAGATAGAGAAAATTACTCACTGCTCTTCACTGAATCACTTTAGTAGCTTTAATACAAATAAATGTACATGTAATTCATACAGTGAAGACTATGCAGTGTTTTAAAATTAGCTCAGGTTTTAATGACCACTTATTGTTTAATGCAGTACTGTGTTTTAAATGCAAATCTCAACAAAGAGAACTGAACTACTAGCCATTAACTAGCATGCCTCCTTTGGTCAACCACCTTAAAATGATCATTCTGGTTCATGAACAGCAAGGTGTTTCAGTTCCACCAGCCTCAAACTGTTATTAGCCAGCTTGGAGCAGTGTGCAAATTCATTTATTTATGTGTTGAATGTGTGTTACGAAAAATTGTTACACAGAAATTTCCACACAGATGTGTGTTTGCTTTACAATTTGTTTTATAGTCTTTATATATATATATATATATACTGTAACGCTAAATTTCTCTAAATCTGCTCTTGAATGGCTTGAGGGTGAGTGAATTTCCAGCAAGTTTTCATTTTTGGGTAAACTGCTCTTTTAAGACAGATTCCACAAATGCGGTTTGGGATGATGGTGTTAAAGGCTGAGCTGAAGTCCACAAACAGGATCCTCACATACTGTAAGTCCCTGGTCTGTCTAGATGTTGCTGAACATAATGCAGTCCCATGTTTACTGCATCGTCCACAGACCTGTTTGCTCTGTAGGCAAACTGAAGAGGATCCAGCAAGGGTCCAGTGATGTCCTTCAGGTGGGCCAGCACCAGTTTTTCAAAATACTTCATGACCACAGACGTTAGAGCCACAGGTCTGTAGTCATTAAGTCCAGTAATTTTGGGTTTCTTTGGGACAGGGATGATGGTGGAGCGTTTGAAGCATGAAGGGACTTCGCACAGCTCCAGTGATCTGTTGAAGATCTGTGTGAAGATGGGGGCCAGCTGGTGATTTCTTTTAGACTTTTCCACACTGATGCTGAATCACTGAAGATAATTTAATCCTTATGATAATAAGGATTAGCGTGTAGATTTCAATTTATGTACGGTCTAATCTCTAATTGTCATACCATTCGAATTTCATATTAAGAAATTATTTTAACCCAAAAAGCAGATTATGCTCCCTTCAAACTGGTTGTTTTAAAAATACAAATCTTGTGTAATCCCAGGCTATTTGTAATCAGAAGCACATTTAAAGATGGAATATAATTTAATTTCATTCACATGTGTTTCATAAACACATAATCCTTTCTGGATTACAATCCGCCATCAAAATGATTTATTTTAATAATCATTTAATTATTCCAGCTGCTGTGTGAAAAGGCTATAAATGATCGGCCACCTGCAGGATCCTCACATGCGATAGCCTAGTAGCCGGGACAACTTCTTTATGTTTACAGACGTAACGTAATGACGCAGCAGCGTGCTCGAATTTCCTGCGAAAACCTACCCGTACCACTCAAATTAGAAAACATTATTATAAGCTAACCACTGTGAATCAGGCTAAAGTAAGGCGATAGTTTTGAACACTGATTTTGGATCATTTATAACCAAAAAAAGTTACGGACTGCAGCTTTAAGTTTTCAGTAAGCTGTTGAAATATTGCAAATTATCAGCATGCAAGCAGGTTTTATTGTACTGTAAAACTATTTTTTTACCTTTCAATTTGAGTGAAAAATGTGTATATTTTTCAGATATTTTTAATAATATAATTAGATATGTTTTTTCTTCTTTAAAATGAACCCACATAAAACACTTTCATCTGATATATGCTATTAGTACAGATCTAATTCTCTCATAATGGCTCAGTTGTGTGAGTTTCTTTGCTACTAAATTATTTTTGAGTTTGTTATCAGAAATAACTGAACTAAGCTGAGTCATGATTTCACTTGAGTGATCTTGAGAGATTTAATGTGTTCTTTTATTTCAGCTGAATTCATCTAAGCCAGTTGTATGCATTGTTTCTGCTTGTCTCCCTTTCCTGTTCTCTTATTTTCTTTAGTGATTCTGCTGGTTAGCAGGATTATTAAGATTACTTTATATATAATTTATACTGAGTTTTCTGGCCCAGATAGGTCCATTTATTTGCTTTGATCTTTGCTGACATGGAGCATTGTTATGGTCTGCTTGCGGTCCAGATCTGGAAAATAGGAGCAGAGAGTCCAAGTGCCATCATTTCACACGATATGTGGGCCAGATCATGACTCAATCCACGCATATCGGATATGGGCCAGATCTGGGCCAACACAATATTGCTATCTGCAGAAATAATTACGAATAGGCGTACTTGTAATACTGACATATCACAATCGATACCAAATATTTGATCTAGTAATTGTATTACTAGTTTATTATAAAGTACTATAATATGCTGTTGATTGAGTTTAATTTGTACTGAACTCTGACTATTCCTTTATTTACATACTGAAATGTTTAATCATTTTTATATTTTTAGATTACATGCTTTCACTGATCTTAATGCTTTTGAAAGTGCCTCTCTGTCACTGAATAATTTCAATGTACCTTTTTCTAACAAAAATAATAATAATAATAATAATAATAAAGGATTTATCCGTATCCAACTTATACTGAACCCCAAATATTCTTAAAAAAAAGAAAAGAAAATGTGATCGTTTGAACAAATGATTTCTACTTACCATATACAGAAATACTGAATGATTTTGATGACAGTTTTGCTTCACTTATCTGTAGTTGAT